GACTTTGCCAGAAGTTTCTTTCTAAGTACTCAGGACCATTCGTCATTACTCAGTGCTTAAGTGACATCACTTACGCTGTTGCGAAAGTGACAGCTCAGAACCGGCGTTCGCGCAAGACGCAAATTGTGCACATTGCCCGATTGAAGCCCTACAACAACCGATCGCTTCTACTCGCTCGGTGAGCTTCGTCTGGCCCGGAGAGAAATGTAACGCGGACTGAAAGAGCGAGGAAGAAGAAGAGATTGGACGCGCTCGAGCGATGGTGATTCGGCAGTGACGGTAGTGCGCTGACATTTTTCATTGTAAATAAACCCATCACATCCGTAACAATATATATACACTCATGTGACGTCGCACAGTTCACGGCTACCAAACATTTATTTCAGAATGGCGTAAACAAATGCATGCACACCTGTACTATGCTAGCGCATATGGTTGTCATCACGCGGCTAAGGTCGTAGAGAATACTTAGTTCAAGTTTAGCCACTTTAGGTATTATGTAAATAATGCGCACAGTACCAAGGCTCAGTCGTGAAAGCGACGAATGTCCCCCGTAAACGAAGATCCATGCAGCTGTATGCGTTGAAGGAATCTCACTTGCAGATTCTCGGGCGCAATTGATAACAGGTGTCAGGGCCAGCTGAGCTCAAAACTTTCGAAGACAAACTTCCTTGACCCGCGAAAGCTTGCGAAACAGGAAACTAGTGTACAGGGTTACAGCGACCATCCATCTTGTAGGGGGAAGACTTCTGACATATGAAAATATTAGTTACGGGGGAGCAAAGGCAGCGGTGATGGTGAATTATGAGCTATACACTATGTTGTCTGTCAACACATTGAGGAAAAAAATAGCAGAAGCTCTGACGTCACTTTTTAGGGAGACGGAAGTGCAGCCATCTTGCTGAATAACTTTGCTTGGCTCAATGTTTACTTACGGAGAAGGATGAAGAGGACGGGAAGGTAGAAAAATAAACAAGAATTCAGAGGAGTACTTACTACACGGCTTAAAGAGGGCCCTTAATAACTAATAAATATAAATATATAAAAAAGAAGCACACTAAAAATCCTAGTGGGGTTAAACAACCCTTGTGTTTCATGCATGTCGAAATATTGTTTCGTTCGTATCATGAGAGATTGATGGTAATGGATAACGGTTCTCAGGTGCATCACACTGTATCTTCAACAATTACTAGTGCGACAAAAAAGAAGGAGAGCGACAAACGAAAGGCAGTCTACAGCGCTGTAGTCTGTCATCACTCATGATGGGAACACAACAACTCGTTGAAATCACCCTTCTTTTGTATCACACTCCTCTGCAAATATTGGCACACTTTAACCAATCATCTGTATGGGAAAAACTCACGACTTGCAAAATTGAACCCTGATTATCAATTACCATTTGTACAGATTGAGCGTACAGTGATGGGAGCTTGCCGGTGAACAAGCAAGGTGTATGTAACAATGGGTAAATACTACAATCATTAGTTTGTGTTCTTCAAGCTTTCTTAATTACTTGTGTTAGACCTTTGGCCTGATGCCAACAATGCAACTGTGGCTATAGGAACGGGTATAGCGTTTCTTCAAGCCTCTATATCCGCGTACAAGTCTGTACAGTTGCCCCATCAAGACGGGCCTCTGTATACGCATCTCGTTACTTTATCACTCTCATTCTTTCCTCTTTTTCTTCCCTGTCTATCTCTCCTGGCACGGAGTAGCAGGCGGGGTCAATCTATAGCCGAGAGCAAACTTTCTGTCTGTTTGCAAGTAAGTCCCTCTCATCTCTTTTCACCTCTATTTTTCGCGACCCGAGCTTCTTTACGGCAATGGCCCATTGACTGAGAAGTACTGTTGACGCTCGCCAGAACGGGGTTTCGGAAAGCTCTCTATCATCTTGAATTGACCTTTCTAAAATGTTTAACTAACCTCTGTAACATGTTTTTCTTAAGTCCCAAGCAGTAAGGGTGTCTCGAGCCCGCTTTCTATGAAATTATGACCGCTTTTATCAGGCCTCCATTAATCTCTCGCAAAAAAAAAAAAAACTCAGGTGAAGTTTGAACTAAGCCACGCAAGGCGTTGAACTAGCAAAACTGCACAATTATGAAGACTAATCTGGTTGTTTCTAAGTTACTTGTAGACCATAGGTTGTTTCTACGTTCATCATCCGCACACAGAAGCCGACGTTAAATTATAGCCGAAAGTCTCGCCAGACAGACAGTCTCGCAAGCACAAATAACTTACAGACAGTCTTGGGAAATGCAACGATGTCTCGCAGCTGCTATTGCCTTTCTCGTTCCCTAGTATTCGCCCGTTGTACGTACAGAAGTCTTCGGCTAGCCGTGGTCGTTTCGCAGCCACTTGTTGGGCTAGCTGTGCCTTCATTTTATGTGGACATGTCTTGAGTTTCGGGATCCAACCGATTACTGAGGCGCATATCAGTTTATCAGGATGATAGCTTTTGCGTAAACTAATATATAATCGTAAACTAATAATACATGCGTAAACCAATAATAATCGCACTTCAAGGCGATTGCCGGCTCTTGCGTAATCACCTTGAAGGGGAAGGGTCGCAATCTTGCGGCTAGTTTCATATCAGCAACAAATGGTTGTTTTGCTTGCCATGAAATGACGTGAAAAGAGACTGTGCTTGCTCTTGCTCTCGCTTGAACGCGCTGCCAGCAGACGCTCGAGTGCGTAGGCCACGCGTTCCAGTGTTCCCTTTCATAAAAATTGACACTGTACATACTATTGCGACGCGGGATGTGGAATACTGAAAAAAATGCCTGCTTGAGGACAAGCGTTAATCGTTAGTACCCGTTTTGAGTATGCTCAGCTATATGGCTGGTATTCCCTAATAAAAGTTATCCGAACTTGTTTACATGACAGGGGGCACCTTCTCCATCATGTGCCCCTCGAATAATGTAACTAACTATCATCTATTTAAAAGAGACATGAAAAGGCATGAGACGCTATGGTTTTCCATATAATCAGAATGATATTGAAGAAGAAGACGTGCTACTACAATAGACATAGGCACGGAAACAACTCAGACAAGCGGAAGCTTATAGGATACATGAAAACAATATATGAGAAAATTTAGTTTCCCGTGCATTCAGGTGCAGATACGACGCACTCCTGTGTTTAGGCCACCGACTAAGAAAAAATAAAATAGAAAGAGAGTGGGAGAGGGGACGTAAGGCTATCATCGTACATCAGCTATCGTCGGCGGAAATTGCGAATCAATGGCGTTTTTTGCTCGTTTCCTTCCCACACAAGTTTAGCAATGCCCCGCTTGCTTATATCCTGGCCGAACGTTCCTCCTCCTTCGCAATTGCCGTGAGGGTCGATTCCGCGAAGAAAATGCGGGCGGCAGTAGACGGCAGCCGCGGTATATCCGAGCACGTTGCATTACAGCGCTGCACGTGAACAAGTGCTCAAGTACGCTGCTTTTCTTTTTTTTTCTTTCTTGGGCGGGGGAGCCTTTTGCGGCGCATTTATATCTCTTTACATTGCCTTCTTTACTTTTCTCCTCGCTTTCCGTTCCGGGGAACTGTCATAAATCATACAGCCCTTAAGCCTAGACTTCCTCATTTTCCTTGCCTTGCTTCCTGCCCCGTCAGTTAGTGCCCCGCCTTGCGTTCCCCTGGTCGTTCCGGATTCTCCCCCTTCGTTGTCGTCATTACGATTCCCAGTTCTCAGTGGCGCGATAACCAAACGTGTTTACGCTATGTAGACTTGCCTTTTTTTCTTGCTTCCACGATGCCAAAGGCCATCGTATAAGACGTTTTTTTTTTACCATTCGTTTGAATCATTTCGTGATATGGCTGTCTGGAGGACGTGATCTGTAAGGGTGCTTGGTATCGGAGATATGACAATTCAGCACAACATTGCTCCGTTTTTTCATACTTCGTATTTGTTTATTTCTTTGAAGAGGAGCAGTTCGAGATTGAAAAGATTCTTCCGTACGAAAATCCTGGGCACAAAATGGAGAGCTGCGCGCGCGCCTCTCTGATTGTGCGGCGATTTATGATCTGTCGTGGTGCTCTTTGATCCGTACACTGTTTCATCTCTTGCCGTTTCACGGCGCGCAAGAGATTGCGAACATGTGCTTTCATTCTCTCGGGGGGCCACCGGGATCGCAAAGGAAATGCTTTATGAACATCTACCACTCGTTCCGACAACGCTCAGCTCCGTAGTACACTTTCTTCTCTATGCAAGCCACTATTTGATTTGCGGCAAAATGCACGCTGCTCCACAGTCTCCGTTCAACTTCTACACACAGACACTGCGCACACGAGCCCTGTACGAAACGCTGACTCCGTTCGCCTATAGTTCTCTCTATGGCACTCTAATATCGTGGCGCTTCCATACAGATGACTTACGGATGGAATTGGTCCTCTTGAGTTCATGAGAAACTGCGTATGAGAAAGTGTATTAAATTCTGTTCGAGCTACTTGTTTATAAACACGCAAACATTTGCTGCATGGAAAGCGCAGTGCTGGTTTAAGATTCTGGTAAAGCTGTAAAAGCTGAGTCCTGCAGAGCATGAACTGTTTTGTAAGGGCGGTAAAATTGCAACGAAAGCTTTCAAGTTGAGAACGAACATGTTTCTTCAGAAACGCTTCGCGTCTAAGAGTCTATGGAATATGGAAGCGGGACCAGAAGATTCACTAGCATATAACTAGAAACACCACAACATATTTTGGGCCGACGTTAAGAATCTTGATGTGTTGCTGTTCCTCAACCGCAAACGACAAGAATTACTGCGTCATGTTTGTTGAGTGTTTCTCTCTATACTGTATTGAAGTAAGTGGCTATATGATATATTTTTTGTCGTCCTTATAATAAACTTCGTCTACCGCATCAAAGTGAAAATAATCGATGTACTGGTAGGAGCCTTCGCAAGAAAACAGGTAGCGGAGGTGTTGCTCCAGGTAAGCGAGCACGCGAATTTAACGTTTCGGTCAGCGACGTCGAAATGTGAAACTCGCGTGCCCGCTTACCTCGAGCAAAAAGTTGATGGGACTCTTGGCGATCAACATATTTGCGGGATTCTTTATTCCGCAGAATTGAATTTCACCGATGATAATAAAACGTTTCCATTTCCAAGCGTTCCTACTACATGAATAATTAAAGATTCTCCTTATCTACAGGCGTAGCGCCAATCGCATTATACACTAGCAACGGAATACATTTTGCATGAACAGTGTTTCGTCCAGAAAAAAACGATCTTAATAACAGACCGCTTTTCTACAAAATCTGGCAACGACAGAGACACTATAACTTCATAATGGAATAATTGGAAGCGCAAACCAACGGGACACAAGAGAAGTGACATACAAGCGCAGACTGAAACTCAGTTTATTCAGAGAATAAATTATATACCAGAAAGATGAGAAAGGGAAACAACTGGGGAGAAGGTTCCACGATGATCAGGTGTCGTCCAGAAAAGATATTTCACAATGTAACAGTGACATAGACGGTGAACTAAGTCAACTATCAATATTTTTTTAATAAAAAAGGCTTCCGCAATCTCTCTAGATTTCATGTCATAAAAAGAATATTGATAGTTGTGCTAGTTCACCGTCTATATCACTGTTAGATTGTGAAATATCGTTTCTGGACGACACCTGATCATGTTTCCCTTTCTCATCTTTCTGGTATATAATTTCTTCTCTGAATAAACTGAGTTTCAGCCTGCGCTTGTATGTCTCTTCTCTTGTGTCCCGTTGGTTTGCGCTTCCAATTATTCCATTATGAATTTGTACCGACTAGCCCACCTGTCAACCCTACACTATAACTTCTTTTGCTGATACACCCAATATATGCATTTCAATCCTCTATTTCTATTCCTTCCTCCAAACAAAATATTGTTCACCATGCATTGTTCATCTCCTTTCATTTACACTGTTGAACGTTTACGGGCGATAAAAAATATGACTAGAGCAAACCGACATTCGGGTATATTACGTGCTCAAAAACTAAGACCTGTTGATAAGACGTGTCGTTGAAAGACATGACGGATCCCATTTTGTCTACCGGGTTTTAGTTTCTTGAATGTTCGCAAAATGCAAGGTAAGTGCTTCGGCACGCCAAACCAATTCAAATGCTACCGAGTGCCGCTAAATTCCAACACACAGGAGCCGGTTGACAATTCAAATATTTGTTTTATTTGAATGTTAATCTAGCCAAACCCGGGTTTCCAGCGCAAACCCCACTGATGAGAAATACTAAGAATAACAATCACCGAAAAAGAGATGCGGCAGAGCCTATTTCTTCTAGCGCCACGAAAACGAATGGCGTTGAAAACGAGTCGGCACGAACCTGACTGACAGCTCGAGTTGAAATTAAGAGCTCGGCGAGCAATTGTAAGTTGCGGAGATTGCTTAGCGGCGCTTTGTACGGAGCAGACCGCGAGCTCAGCATTCTCGCGGAGCTGCCGCCGCCACCACCACCGAGGTGCCGAATAAGCGAGTGCCGCCACCACGCTTTCGCTCGCAATCTACCTCAAACGCAATCCTCGGTATTTCCTCTCAAACACGCAAGCACGCAAACTCTGGCACATGCTTTGCCCTATCCCCGCTCTCCTTTCAGTGCCTGTCTCACCCTCAGCTGCCAGTTTTTTGAGGACGCCTGCGTTGTCAGCAGACTCTCTTTCTCTCGCGCAGAGAACGAAGCAAGATTGAAAGGCTCCCGCCACCGTTCACAGTTGGAAAACGGCGCCGGTATGCACATAAACGAATTCTCGTGTTGCCGAGACGCATAGCCATTCGAATCTGTCAAACGAAGAGAAACGTAGGGGAAATGTGAAATGCAACTCGACAGTGGCATGAAAGCAGGGGCCCCCCTTCCTACAGTCTCCGAATATAAGCGCTTCAACCATCGATCGTGTTACACACGTCCCACCGAGTTTTTGAGAGGCAGTTTGACGCGTTCAAAGGTTCGCGTTTGCGAGATGACAGAGTAAGAAAAGTCGATATCGAAAAAAAATTGTTTTAACCTGAATCATTCTGTATTCATTTTTCCTAATGCAAAGTTATTTCTTGGCTATAAGCCATAACGAAGTGTGAGAATAAGTGTTAATGTGTCTTTGCATTGTTTTGTTGATTTGTATATCACTACCCACGATACTTACGGGAATCATGTGCCCCCAAAGTACATTGCCATTGTCATGAAGGCCACCGATCTATTACACTCATCGTCTATTGAAAACTTACTTCTTTATTGTTTTTTTCGTTTTATTTGCCCTAACGGCCCTAAGACACTACATAGGAAGGAGGAGGGGGGGATGATAGCTTTTTACAACGAATACAAAACATTTCACGTGAAGAACAAAAAAAATATCGGTGTTCAATCATTGGTGCATATGGACGTGCATGTGCTGTCAGTCAAAAATATGCAAGAAAAAAATACTCACTGAAAAAAAAATCTTGTAAATAACATACGTGAAATCTATTGATAAATGCTGCTGAAAAATCAATAAAAAGAAAAAAAAATACGTTTACAATAAGCACCTATGCAACAAAACTCATACACAATTTACCTACAATTGTGTGCAAAGCAGGCAGAAAGTAAAAGTATCTAAAAAAGGAATACGGTGATTTGGACATATACGTACTAAAACGTAAGATTATTTTTGTTATGGACTGGAATATCCTTTGATTAAGTAAAATGTCTCGAAATCTGTAGCAGTGTAGTTGAGTGAAAACTGTTCAAGCATTTCTGAAAATTTATCAGCATTTATTTCTTGAGCTATATATTTCGGCAATTATTTCCATTCCTGGATAGCGATGTGTCGGAACCATAGAGACTTTGGGTTAAAAATATATTAGGAGTTGCGTGTTCCATATGCGCAGCAAAATGCCGAATAACTATGCAAATTTATACACCAAGTTCATGAGGAATATTGACTCGTATAACGGGATTTAAGTGTAATTTACCTCTAGGTATACTACCACCTAGACTTTTTTATCAAATCTCACTTTCAGAGACGTATCTTTTCGACCACGTTTGCGTGTGGAGCGTCACTTGGAGCACCCGAATATTCTATGCATATTAATTATTGTCCAATTTCACTGAGAGACCCAAGTGGTCACCCACTCGGCAAAAGCACACTACTACGAACCCCTCCCAGCTGACGATCAGTGCAGAAAGCAGTGAAACCAAGCATTGTGCTTTCTGCAGAACAAGCAGTATTAAAATGTGTTTCATTGTGCAGGCATCGTTACGCTAAACGCCGGTAGCGTTTGCAGTTCGTCCGCAGGAAATCTTAAGTTGCGTGCGGCCGGCAAAACCTCTTCGTGGCGACTCGCGTGTGCGTCAGGGTTTGCGGGGAACAGATGCTACCTTAAAACCTCTAAAACTCTACGCTAAGTCTACACAGCATTGCCTGCTAACTTAGCGTACGACATTCTAAAGCTTCCTAACGGCTCACTTTCGTGAGCCCTTAGACTACGTTGTGCTGTTGTGCGCCTGCGCGAATCGACCGCTTTTGCCCTTATTTGTTTCGATACTCACACTATTGTCTTCCCCAGCGTTGAGCGTACGAGGGGCACTTCCGAATAGTACCACTGCTTTCTCTCTCTTTTTTTTTGTTTGCGTATCTCGCCGCATCAAGCGTGCCGTATTGTTCCACATGTCTTGATATTGAGTATCACATGTTGCTTCTTGACACAGTGATTCTGATCCTTGTAACCTTCCTGCTGAAATGTGCGCTGCGTGCTGCCATTTTTTTGTATCTTGATTGCCTTCATGCAGAATTGTCATGCACTACTTCCATTCGAATGTGTTTCCAGTTCACACAAGTCGCACGCAGTCATTATAACGCAAATCTGCTCGTCGGCCTATATATAACATCATTAATTACCCATGTACTCTTACGTCTCCACTGAACTGTTATGCCTCGCAAACATCGGCATGCTAATGATCATAACCTACACGACCAATCATGAATGCTGGAAGCGTCATCCCAAGCAGAGAAGGCCAGCAAGTTGAGCTAAACATGGCAAGGGCTTGTATGATCTGCATGGTTCTCTTCTATTTCATCACTTTTTGCTTGTCCTGCTCTCATACACGAAGTATCGCAAGCAAATAATCGTGGCTGCGAAGGCCCGGGCGTCCTTTCAGGTTAATGTCAGACATGTGAATAGATGAAAGAACTATACCAACCTACAATTCGCTCGTTAGCTCGTTCTAAGATAAGAGGTGATTTCTGCAACCTCTAACCTCAACATCTTCTTGCTTTGTGGTGGCATGGTTGACAAGTCCTCATGTAGCATTATGGGCAGATTCGTTGAAGTTCACTGGAGTGCCATCGATTTCTCCTATGAGAGTAAAAAACAAATTGTTTTGTATGCTTTGATTACCTTTTCATTGAGCATTGACAGAGCCTGTCTACAGATTGCTCTTGTGAAATTTCTCTCACAAGAGTAATCTCTATTATCACTGTGGATTCTCAATCCATTTGGGTCTATAGTGTCTATGCAATGACTACTTCCTCGGCAATATCTCACGCTGTGGTGTAGGTGAAAGTCGAGTTCACTAGTTGCCCTTTACCCTTCAATAATACATTTGCTAAGGCTCGTTTATTGGACAAGAGCTTTTATTTTGCTTCCACTAGCACAGGTCGACCAGGTCCGGCTTGGAGATCGCAGCTTCCCACGCTTCACTGAGAAGGTTTGAGTCCGCATCTTGTGCTTCTGCTTGTAGCCTTGGGGCGTTTACTTTGCACTACAGCTGCACTGCGTCTAGTCGCTCGAGCTCGGTGGGCGGTCCAGGCCAGAGGGTTGCTGGAATAAGGGACCCTCCCATTTTCACTCAGATTCATTACTCAATAAATGTTTTCTCCCTCTCCCCACTAGCGCTGGTTTTCAACGTATGAGCACATACTAAGGAGCCTGTAAAGCGTGCTTTGTCTGTAGGGCAAGCATGTATAAAGAGAAAAGGCCCTTGCAAGACATAAATTTTACTTTAAGTGATTATTAGTGGTTTGGAATATATCTGCAACAACATAACTGCTTCTAAAAATACGCTTAAGAGCGTG